AAATACAGTTTGAAGGTCAGCTTATTCAAATTCATTCAAATTTTCCCTGTGGTTTGCTCCTCGGAGCCCTCCCAGCCTGCAGCCACTCCTGCCTGCAGAGGGCTCGTCCCGGCTGTGGCCAGCCCTGGGGCTGCCTCTAGAGAAGAGCAGACTCGTGATTGGGCTGAAATCAGAGCAAACCACAGCGCACACCAGGCTCTGGCTGCCCCCGTGGTGGGTCAGCACACACAGAGCCCTGCTCTCAGCTCAGGGAGCTCTATCAACGAACTCCCAGGGTAAATAACGCCAAAGTCTACTCATCATACCTGTGACAATGCATTAGGTACTATAAAAGCACAATAAATGAATCCTGAAAGGTAGATAGTTCATGGAAAATACACTGAAAGCACCATTTATAAATTTTTCCCTTATCAGTAAAAGGAACCATAACTGACATATTTTTCTTGTAACCCAATATTCCAGTTGCAGAAAGCTGGGATCTACACAAGCAGATGTGCCACCAGCCTGATGAGCTGGAATTTTGGAATTCCCAATTCTTTTTGCCTTTCCTTGATTAACAAGAGCTCAATAGCAATGGAGGCATCACAGCAGACAGAGTATCAGAAATGGGAAAAATACTGACAAGGTTGGCGGTCTGCTCAAAACAAGAATTTGGAGTAATGTTATTTTGGCACCACTATAAGATTTTCAGGAGCAACATCCTGACTCATTCAGCTAAATTTGGTACCTTTCATTATCAGCTAGGCCACATCAGCCAGCACCGTTTTGTTTCACACTTGAAACTGACTTGGGAATGAACTTTTTTAACCCTTCCATTCAAACAGAGTCCAACGAGCGCTTGTGATTTGACAGAAGAGCAAACAAAACCCTGTCACCTCTGTAAGGTGTGGCCAAACGCACGGGCACAAAACCTCCCTCGACATGAAACTTGTCCCTGGGGTAAAAGCCTCTGAGATAAGACTCCCACCTCCTGCCCAGGGCACAACCTTCTCCAGCACCCTGCAAGCAAGGTGCCACGCTCAGCACCCAGAGCCCCGAAGGCCGCCGCCCGCCGCCGCCCCCCCGTACCGGAGCCGGAGCCGGAGGTGGTCATGTCGGAGATGAGATCCTTCAGCGTCTTCCCCGCGGGCGCCAGGCTGCTCTCCGACAGCGGCTCCTCCACGTTGGGCTGCTTGG